AGAAGGATTAGAAGACATTGATGAAGAAGGGGATGAAGATGCAGGTGAGGATGAAGATGATGATGAAGTGGAGGAAGGAAAGGAGGGTGAAGGAGATGACTAATGAACACTGATGGATTTCAACCTTTTTCTTTTTTTAATTTTCTCTAGTCCCTAGGAGCAAGTTGCAGTCTTTTTTCCCCCTCTTGTGCTGAGTCGTCCTGTTCTTAAAGTCTTTCCTCAAACACCATGGTTCTCAACTTATTTTGTGGGGAGATACCTTGAGCAGAATACAATGGAAAAGGGATCTCTAGAACTTTCTGTTCTAAATTCATTTTGATCCCCTCCTGTCCACACAAACTGTATGATATCAACACCACCATGCTCTGTGGGAAAAAAGAAAACCCTTCTGCTGCCTTCACTCTGCTGGAAGCTGGAGGGTGCTAGGCCCCTGTGAAGTAGTGCATAGAATTCTAGCTTTTTTCCTCCTTTTTCTGTATATTGGGCTCAGAGATTACAGTGTCTCTATGTAAACATGGACAGTTAGCACTTACCAACATGTACCTACTTTCTCGTTTAAAAAAGAAAAGAAAATTTTTTAAATGGGGTATAGAAGGTCACCAAAGGGTGGGTTTGAGATGTTTGGGTGGGTTAAGCGGGCATTTGACAACATGTCTTCTCCTTTGGCATGTTTAACTGAGATGTTAACAGATATCCTTGCAGTTTAAGATGACACTTTTAGAATAAAATTCTCTCCCAATTAAAAAAAAAAAAGAAAATCTGGTTGTTATACACAATGGAGTACTACACTGTTATAAAAAAGGATAGACTGGAGACATTTTTAAGCAAATAGATGCACTTTGAGAACAATTTTAAGTGAAATAAATCAGACATACATGTTTATATATCGCATTGTTTCTCTTGTGTGAGAGACTCAAAGAGTAAATAAGAACCACAGATATTGGGAAGAAGGAAGAAAATGTTCAAATGAGAAGGGGAACAAGGGGGGGGGCGGGATAAAAGAAGAGAAAAGGAAACAAGTAGAAAAAAATGGAAACAAAGCTTTTGTAAATGGGGAAGGAAAGGTGAGGTGAAGGGAAAGGAATGAGGAAAAAAGAATCAAGATAAATTATGTACAGGTACAAATTCCCTATGATGAATGTGATAATGTATACTCAAAAAAATCAATAAATTAAAAGATGAAGAGAAAATATATTAACAAGAAAACTCTGTATCTTCACTCCATTCTTCCCTGCATACTAAACTTTTGATACCCCATTTTATATTTTTATCACCTATCTCTTAACATATTAATGTAGGTATTATCTTCATTGTTTTCTAGTCTTTATACTTAAGATACAGATGACTTTTTTTTACTTTTTTATTTATATATGTTTGCAGGATATAAAGATTACATGCCTTGTGGGAAGTTAGTACATGCACATAACACAATAATTCTTTTTTCATTCCCTTCCTCTTCTCTCCCTCCTCTTCGCTCCATCTCTTCCCCTTTGAGAAAGATCTCTCTCCCTACTTCCTATTATCTTCTATTTATATTTTGGTTTTCTCATATGAGAGAAACCATGCAATAATTAAGCCTATGTGTCTGATTTACTTCATTTAACATTGTGGTCTCGAGGTACATCCATTTTTCTACTATTGACTCAAGTTCAGCCTTTATGGCAGAGTAGTACTTCACTGTCTGTAAATACCACATTTTCTTTATCCATTTATGTGTGTTTTGTTTTGGTTGGCTGGGTTTTTGTTTTTTTGTGGGGTTTTTTGCAGTACCGGAGATCGAACTCAGAACCTTCCCCTTGCAAGGCAGGTGCAGTGCCACTGAGCTAAATCCCCAGGCCCCATTTATCTGTTAATGGACATACAGCCTACTTCTGATTTAGCTATTACAAACTGTGCTGCACATGGATATGCATGTATCACTGTAACATGATGTCTTTAATTCTTGTGGGAAGATACCTAGAAGGGAAGTAACTGGGTCAAATGGCATTTCTAGTTTTAAGTTTCTGAGGAATCTCCACAGTTGTACTAGTTTACATTCCCACCAATAATGTAGATGGGGTCCTTTTTCTCCCTCAGCCTCGCCAGCATTTATTATTTGATTTCTTGATAGCCATTCTGGGGTAAGATGGGATCTCAGTGTTGTTTTAATTTGCATTTCTCTAATTGCCAGAGATTATTTATGTACTTCTTCATGTATTTATTCATCAGAGAGTGTCCAATTCATTTCAGTTACTCATTTTTTTGACTGGGTCTTTTATTTTGAGGTGGTCTAATTTTTTGAGTCCTTTATGATAAAGATGATTTATACATCATATTTACAATATTACAGCATTCAGAATTTGTATAATCACTCTTACCAGTGAGTTTTACATTCTTATTCATTAATGTCACTCTAACCACTTTTATTTGACATACTGCTGAAAATCCTAACCAGAGCAATCAGGCAAGAGAAAGAAATAAAGGGCATCTAAACTGGAAAAGTAGGAAGTCAAACTGTCTCTGTACATAAATGATATGATCTTATATTTAGAAAATTCCACCAAAAAAAACTATTAGAACTATATGAGTTCAGTAAAGTTGCATGATGCAAAATCTACATTCAAAAATCAATATTGATGCTATATGCTGATAGCATATTGTCTGAAATAGAAATCAAGAAAGGAATTTCATTTACAATACACAAAAAATATTCCAGAATTTAACTAAAGAGGTGAAAGATCTCTATAATAAAAGTTACAAAACATTCATGAAAAAAATTGAAAAGGACACAAAGAAGTAAAAAGAAACCTTGTGTTCATGTATTGGAAGCATATTACTAAAATGTCCATACGACCTAATGCAATTTACAGATTCAATTCAATCCTTAACAAAATACTAATGACAATCTCCATAGAACTTGAAAACACAATTCTAAAATTTATTATCTGGAACCACAAAAAAAAGAAATAGACAAGGCTATCTTGAGCAAAAAGAACAAAGCTGGAAGCATCATACTACTTGACTTCAAAACACATAATAAAGCTATAGAAATCAAAACTGCATGATAGTGGCATAAAAACAGACACATTGACCAATGGAACATGACAGAGAGCCTAGAAGTTACTCGTGCATCTACAGTAAACTTTTTTGACAAAGATGCTAAGAAAAGGCACTGGAGAAAGGACACTCATTTTAATAAATGGTACTCAGAAACTGGTCACCTACATGCAGAAGAATGAAACTAGCTGCCAGCTGCAAAAAATCAACTCAAACTGGATTAAAGACTTAAATGCTATAAATGAAACTATGAAACTACCAGAAGACAACACTGAGGAAACACTTCAGGATATTAGAATGGGCAAAGAATTTTTGAACAAGGCCCCAAAAGCATAAACTGACAAATGGAAGTACATCAAACTAAAAATCTTTTGTACAACAAAGGAAACAATCTACAGAGTAAACAGACAACATACAGAATAGAAAATATTTGCAATTTATCCGACAAGGAGTTGGTATCCAGAATACATAATGCCAAAAACTAAATATCAAAAAATAAATTGATTAAAAACTAGGCAATATATAAATAGACATTTCTCAAAAGAAGATATACAGGGACCAGGGGTTTAGCTCAGTGGTTCTGCCACCTGCCTCGTGAGCACAAGGTCCCGAGTTCAATCCCCGGAACAGAAAAAAAGAAGACATACAAACACCCAACACACACATGAAAAGATGTTTATCACCACTAATCATAAGGGAAATGCAAATCAAAATGAGATTACCCCACTCTGAAAAGATTAAAGATCACATGTGCCCAAAGGAAGCCCCTGTATACTATTAGAGGTAATGTAAGTTACTACAGCCTTATGACACACACTGTGGAGTTGCCTAAAGGAAATTAAAACCAGAACTACCATAAATCCCATTCTTGGATATATATCCAAATGAAATGAAATCAGTATATTGAACAAACATCTGCACTGCCATGTTATATGCAGCACTATTCACAACAGCCAAGAAATGGCAACAACCTGAGTGTCCATCAAATGACAGATGAATAAGGAAACCATCATTACTTATATATCCACAATGAAATGCTATTCAGCCATTAAAAAAAAACAATGAAATCCTGCCAACTGCATCAACATGGATGGAACTGGTGGTCACTATGCAAAGCCAGGCACAGACAAACAAGTACTGCATGATTTCACTCATATGTGCATTCAGGAAACACAGGCCACATAGAAGCTGAGTGTAGAATGGTCATTATCAGGGGCCAGGAAGAGTGAAGGGGGTGGGGGTAAGGAGTGGGGATAGTGATGGGGAAAGGTTCATCAATGGGTCCTAAGTTAAAGTTAGGAGCAAGAAGTTCTGGGATGCTATTTCCCAGAAAGGTGTAAACAGGTAACAATAATGTACTGTACATCTCAAAAAGCTAGAAGAAAGGACTTTGACCATTTCTAACTTAAAAGTATACAAATATTTGAGAGGATAAGTATGTTTAACCTGATTTAAACATTACCCGATGTATACATATACAGAAACATTATTTCACTAATACACTATTTATGTTTTTGTTATCAGTAAAAATTTAATTTTTTAAAGTTATTAAGATTTAATTAAGGTATTACTTTCTCCAGAAAGCTTTCCCTGAAACTACTCAACAGGATGAGTACTTTTCCTATATAATCCCATGAAGTCCAGTGCTACCATTGTATATTCCATACTGTATTATACAGATCTGCCTAAATATCTTAATTATTCAACAAGTGAGACTTTCATAAGTGCAGGCAGCATGTTTTATCTCTGTATTTCCAGAACAGCAGAGTAAATGCCAACTGTCACTTACTGAACAAAATTACCTTCATCATCAGCCAGTCAATATACCGAAAATCTGTATGACTTTTGTCTAGCAATCTAATAATCTTTCCTATTTCAAGTTATCAGTCTACTTATTCAATTTCAGTAAGTACAGACAGAAAATCCTCCCCTTAATAACTGCAAATTAAGAAAAATTGCAAAGCATACAAATAATTTTTAGGCATGACAAACACCTTTTATTTTTCACAATGTGAACACCAAAGGCACTATCCAATTAGCTCCAGAACATTTCCAGATCTTTGATCTATTAAACTGAAAGTTTTTTACAGGAACACCTGCAACAATAGAATATTAACATCAATCAATGTTAGCTTCACTATTTCTTGGTTTTTCTTTATATGTATCCAAGTTCTCCATCTTTAATTCATCTTCCTTTTTATATTGACTATATTCAATCTCTTTTTCTGGGTTTGGAATGGATTTCACCTTCGGTAGCAAGAAACATTCAGCATTTGAAACTTGCTCAGCAGTCAATGAACTTCTAAAATACATCAAACTACAGAGGAGGGATCTGACATTATCATCCTGCAAGGAAAAAGACTTTTTTTAAAAATAAAAAATTGAAACAAAAGGACAATCCTGTAATGAAGACTAAAACCTTTTTTCACTGATAGAAGCTAAAATCAAATTTTTCTATTTAAATTTTTTAAGATTCCCACCAAATTCAACCTATGTTTCATTGGAAAGGGTTATCTCCAGTAATAAAACAACAAAATTGAATTACACTGAAAAAAAGGTAAAAGAAAAAAGAATCACTGCTCAAGTCTCAAAAACAGTGAAATTCTGACATTTCATGATTTCCCCTTTTCCTTCTTTTATAAGGTACTAGGGTCAAGAATTTCGTACTATGAAAATCTCACACTCAAATTTCCCTGCCCAGAAGTGTAACTTTCTTCACCTTGTCAATTGTTTTTGGTCACAGTTTTGAAGTGATTATCTCTGGAAACTTTCTACCTCCACTACCACTATCATCATCATTGTGGGAGCCAGAATTTATCCTTTGCCAAGATTTCAAGTAACATTCTTTGTATTATCAAATGTAAACAACCCCAAGATGTTATTTTTCCATTAATTCCACCTCCCAAGGCACCTTAGTATGTCTTGTATTTACCCTTTGTGATTATTTCAATCAGAGCACATTATTACACTGAAAAAAAAAAAAAAACCTGTTCCTCAAAAACAAAAAAGTATATCTGGAACAAATTAAAAGTCTTACATTATTCTTAGACAAAAATGACTCTCATCACAAATGTGTTGGATTTCCCTAAGTTAATTTACAAAGTTTACAGGACTCCAATGAAAATACACTCAACTCTTCCTCCTTGAAACTAGGTCAGTTGACTGTAAAGGTCTTGAAGGCAAATAAGCAGGAATAGCCACAAAATCTCTGCTAAAATAGAAACAGAGAAGGAACTAGCTTTACCAAGTATTTTTTTTCTGATATTTTTGTGAATAAAACTATTTCTAACAAATTCACTTTCTTGTTGTTCATTACAAATTTATAAGAATACAATTAATTTTTGTATATTGATCTTACAACCTCCTTAATTCGTTCTAATAGCTCAGGACAAGGAATGATATCTACTCTCACCACTTCTATGCAACACTGCACAGAGATTCTAGCCATTTAGGCAAGAAAAGTAAAAATAAAATTCCAGATTGAAAAGGAGAAAGTAAAACTATCTCTCTTTACAAATGACATGGAAATATACACTAAAAACTTATGAGAATAAATTTAACAAAAGAAATTCAAAACACGTACTCTGAAAACCACAAATATTACTGAAGGAAATTATGTATGTAAGTAAGTGGAAAAGTATCTCATGTTAGGTGGCAACACTCCCCAAACTGATCCATAGATTGAAAACAATTCTTTTCAGAATCTTGTGTGTGTTTGGGGTAGAGGTAAGAGTTCTTGGGACAGAACTCAGGACCTCATATATGCTAGGCATGCACTCTAGTGCTGAACTACATCCCCAGCCCTTTTTAAAATTTGTATTTTGGTAAATAATCTCAGTAAGTTACCCAGGCTGGCCTCAAACTTAGCCTCCTATCTCACCCTCAAGTAGCTAGGATTACAGGCATGTACCACCATATCCAGCCTTATCAGAATCTTAATTGACTTCACTGTAGAAAGTGACCAGCTAATTCTGAAATTCACATGGAATTTCCAAGGATTTAGGACAAACAATCCTGAAAACCCTGAAAAAAACAATAAAGCAGAAGAATACAAATTTCTCCATTTCAAAACTGACTACAAAGTAATAGTAATCAAAATAATATGATAGTGACAAAATAGCAGATATAGACAGTTGGTCCTTGACTTATGATGGCTCAACTTAAAATTTACTTTACAATGGTAGAAAAATGATATGCCTTCAATAGAAACCATACTTCATATGTTTAATTTTTATCTTTTCCCAGATTAGAAATGTGCTCTGTCATGATGCTGAACAGCTACACTAAGCCACAGCTCCCAGTCAACCACATGTCCATGAAGGTAACCAAGCAATGGTCTACTGTTTTCTGTGTTGTTAAGCTATGACATTCAGTAGGTTAGGTGTATAAATGCTATTATGGCTTGTATCTAGATGTCCCCCCAAAGCCTCATGTGCTCGTAGGTGGGGCTTTTCGGAGCTGGCTGGATCTAGGATTAATACTAATGGGATTAAAGATGTGTGGTTCTAAATTAGTCTACTGATTAGAATTAGTAATTATTTCTAGGTGTAGATAAGGAGAAGGCTCACCTTGAGTATGAGTGGCACCACCCAAAAGGCTTATAACCTGGATAGGATGAAGGAAAAGGGAGGTTTGCACCGCTGCCGCTCCCTTCTCTACCATGGACCTTTCTCCTCTGCCATGCCCTGCTGCCATGCCACCCTGCCTTCGAACTAGCTGACTATGGGCTGAAACCTCTACAAACTGTGAGCAAAATAAACCTTTTCTCCTTTAACTTGTGGGTGTTGGGTATTTGTCTCAGCAATGAACAAAGTAAGACAAATGCATTTTCAACTTACCATATTTTCAAGTTATGATGGGCTTATCAAGATGTAACCCCATCAAAAGTTAAAAGCCATCTGTAGACCAATGGAATAGAATTCAGAGTATAGAGGTAAACTCATATATCCATGGTCAACTGATTTCAACAAGGATGCCAACACAATTCAGTGAAAAAGAGTAGTCTCTTCAACAGATGGTGCTGGTATAGCTGGGTAGCTGGTTCTAGCAGAAAAATGAAGCTAGACCCTTATTTCAACTCAAATAGATTAAAAAGCTAGATATAAGAGTTAAAATTATAAAACTCTAAGAAAAAATATAGAGGTAAATATCTAACATATTTTTGTTTTGAGAAAGGCTCCAGGCTGTTCTGGAACTATGTATCCCAGCTAGCCTTCAACTCATAATCCTGCCTTGGTCTCCCAAGTGCTGGGATTACAGGCTTCTACTAATGCATCCCACTTTGTGACTTCAGATTTGGCAAAAGACTTTTAGATATGATACCAAAAGCACATGCAACAAAGAAAAACTGGCTTAATGAAAATTAGAAACTTTCATGCTTCAAAGGACACTTAAAAAGAAAATTAAACAGCACCCACAGAATGGGGGAAAATATTTGCAAACTATATATCTATCTAATCAGGAACTTGTATCAAAATATGTAAGCAAATTATACAACTCAACAATAGAAATACAACCCAATTTAAAAAGAGAAAAAGGATCCAAATAGGGATTTCTCCAAGAAAGACATACGAGTGGCATATAAGCACAGGAAAATATGGTCAGCATCATTAATTACCAGAGAAGTATAAATCAATACTATAATGTGATAATAATTCACACTCACTAAGATAGCTACAATCAAAAGTCTGATAAGTGTTGATGAGGAAAAACTGTAACCCTAAGTGTAAAATAGTGTAACTGCTTTGGAAGATAGTTCATCAGTTCCTTAAACAAACAGTTGTACTATGACCCAAGAGTTCTACTCCTGGGTATATATATCCAAGAGAAATTAAAACATTTGTCCACTCAAAAATCTGTATACAAGTGTTTATAGTTAGCATTATTCATAATATCCAAAAGGCAGAAAGAACCTTAGTTACTTTTCTCATTGCTGAGACCAAACACCTGACACCCAAAGTTAAAGGAGAAAAGTTTATTTTAGCTTACAGTTTGTAGAGGTTTCAGTTGTGCTCACTTCGGCAGCACATATACTAAAATTGTAGAGGTTTCAGTCCACAGTCGGCTGGCTCCAAGGCAGGGTGGCATGGCAAAGGGGCATCGCAAAGGAGAAACAGGCCATGGCATAGGCAGGCAGGAGGCAGCAACAGGAAGTAGTGAGTCTACCTATCCCTTTTATCCCATCCAGGCTACAAGCCTTTTGGATGGTACCACCCACACCCAGAGTGGGGCATTTGTCTTCAGTAAATCTATTCAGACATACCCAGAAGAATGCTAATTCCAATCAGCAGATTAATTTAGTACCACACACCCTTAATCCCAGTATCACACGAACTAGATCCAGCCAGCTCTGGAAAAACCCCACCTATGAGCACATGAGGCTTTGGGGGAGTATCTAGATACAAGCTATAACAGAACCAAATGTCCATCAACAGATAAATGGAACTGGTTTTAAATCTATTTGATGGAATGTTACTTGGCCATAAGAAGGAATAAAGTATTAATTCTAGAATTCGAATGAATCTTGAAAACATTGTGCTAAATGAAAGCACCTAGTTCACATTAATTATATGATTCCATTCATATGAACGTCCACAGTAGGGAAATCTGTGAACACAAAAAATGTCCAGTGGTTAATTAGAGATAGAGTAGGGAAATGGAGATACTGGGAGAGGATAATTAAAAAGTATATGGAGGTTTCTTTTTTTTTTTTTGGTACCCAGGATAGAACTCAGGACCTTGCTCTTAAGAGGCAGGCGCGGTGCCACTAAGCTAAATCCCCAGCCCTGGTTTCTTTTTGAGTTGAAAATGTCCTACAATTGTGATGGCTGCACATATCTATGAATATGCAAAAACATTAACGAGTTGTATACCCTAAATGGATGAACTGATAGGTAGATTCTTAATAAAACTGTTTTAAAGTTATTAAAAATCATCATTGAATGACATGCCATATTTCATTGAATTTAAGACCCATTAAAATACTAAGGAAATCAAAATACTGCCAAACTACAAACTATGATTAAAAGTCTCCAATTATACATTTCAATTCTAGAAATATTAAATTGTTAAAAATAATTCATAATAAAAGTCTATTTTGAGTAAAATAATAATAAAGTCTTAAATAAAAGGAAAAGTATTTTTCCAATGACAAAAGAAAGTATATCATTAACATAGCAATTCTCTTTCAAACTAACCTATGAACTCAACATGATTCCAACTGTCAACTATTTTCAGAGAACTAAACAAGTTGGTGCCAAAATTCATATGGAAGAATAAAGTCCCAGTATCATGCAAGATGACATTACAAGGAAAATACAAGGGAAGAAAGCCAAAGCCTTCCATTACAGATATAGTATCAACAAAAGTACAATACTGGTATATGTTCAAAAACAAGTTAGTAGAATAGAAGAGTCCAAAATAGATTAATATGTGCAAACATGGCACAAGATAGAGGGGAATTATTAATCCAGGAAAAGCTGACAGACTATTCAATGAACAGTACTGGACTACCTATCTATCCATATGTAAAAATATAAAATTACATCCTCACTTCATATTATACACAAAAATGAATTTGAGTCTCTTCCCTGACTTACAAATCACATAAAAATTCCAAAATTTTTTTTTTTTTGGAACCGGGGATCAAACTTGGGTCCTTGCACTTGCGCAGCAGGCGGCGAAACCACTGAGCTAAATCCCCGGCCCCAAAACTTTTTTTAAATGTAATGAAAGATAATAATCTACTTTTTTAAAAATGATGCATAGACTTTTCTGAAGAGATCATTAAGAAGCTAGCAATAACACTGGTGTTTCTGGGGAATGAAACTGGGTAGCTAAGGGACAGGCAGATTACTTATTATAATATGTACTTCCTTTTGTAACTTTTGAGTTATGCATGACACATATATGAAGAAACTGATCTTAAAATAAACAATAAGTTATACAATAGTGAAATGGGTTGCCCTGAACTTAGAAGTAGTTTTGCAGAGGCTGAGGCCATCTGTTGTAGATATTACTAAAGGAATTTTGCTGGAAGATAGAGATGATAAATTAACTCTTTCAAGGGCCTGATCTCTAGAATTCACATTCTTCTCCGATTGTGGTATGACATTTGTAATGTCCAGACTACAACCCTGGCTTTGTTTGATAACTAAATATGATCACAAAATGCAAATGCAATCAAAGGCAATCCCATTCCTAGCATTAATGGTTACTTCATATCTTAGAATCAAATAGTACATGAGCCAAGGATTCTTACACAGTAATTTGATGTCCATGAGTACCTAACACAAGGACTTTGTATTTATTCATCCTCATTTACACACAGTGAGCAGAGTACTAAGCACATGGGTGGCAGATTATACTTTATGGTAGACAAAGTCACTGTCGCAAATGATTACAACCTCCTGGTATTCATGACCTTATGTAATCTCCTTACCTTGAGAATAGCCTGCACCTCAAGAATTGTTATCAAACGAAGACAATAGAGTAAAAGTGATAAAATACCACTTCTGTGATTTGGATCTGAAAAACTTTAACTTCTGTCCAGCAAATACACTCTCTTTTGCCTTCTCTGTTTATACACTTTCATGAAATAAGCTGCCATGATGAAAACATGGCAAAGCAAGAGCAACTTATGGCCAACAACTAGAATAGAACTGAGGCCATTCTCCCAACAACAAACTTAAGGAAACTGAATCTTGTGAATGATGCTGGGTAACATCTTTGCCCAGTCATGCTTTAAGTAACTATAGCCCAGATAACAACCTGATTGCAGCCTGTGAAAGATCCTGAAAGCAGAGGACTAAATAAGCTTTACCAAGATTCCTGACTTACAAAATGGTAGGATAGTGTGTTTTAAGTGACTATATTTTAGAATAACTTGATAGAAGGTAATTTTTCTATCAAATCTAAAAATACAAAGGTTCTAGGTATTCACTTTGGGTGAAGTGTAACCTCTGATGTAATATTACTTAATAGCAAGAAATATTAGCCATATTCAACACTAAACTTTTATTAACCTTGTTATCTCATTATCCAGGAGTAGCTGGGAAGTATAATACATACATTCATAATCTCTCAAAAATAGTCTCAAATACATTTTACTACTACCCAGGAAGTGTAGCAAGGCTCCAACACATTATTTCTAAAGTGTTAAAAAAATTCATGAGATATTAGAAGTTATTATAAGACAAAGTATTTTTGTGGTCCAAAATACACGAGTATGATCATAAAATTATATGTATTCCTTCACTGTAGTTCAAACTATCAAAATACCATGGGAACTTTTAGAACCAGACAATTATATTATCATTTAACTTTCAGATAATCTAGTCATAGTGGGTTGCCCCTTTATATGAAGAAATAAAAATTAACTTTCTCCAAATTACTTTCCTCATAGTCTATTTATAGATCTTGGTTGTTTATTTGTTCATTTTTTTTTTTTTTTTTGGTACTGGGGATCGAACTCAGGACCTTGCGCTTCCAAGGCAGGCTTCAGAACCACTGAGCTAAATCCCCGGCCCCCCATATTTCTAAATTATTAATTTTATTTTCATTTCTAGAATCCTTGTAATCTAGCACCTAATCTAACCCATGGGACAGAAAAGTACTCAAAATATTTTGGCTGAAAACACATGAATGACAAAACTATCTCAAAAACACACATGAATTACAGAGAAAAAAAACATAGGTACTTATTGGAACATATATAAACAATATTTTTCCTAATTTTCACTTGATGATTTATATAATCTATGTGACAAATATATAACAGTAATATTAAATTATCTAACACTGGTGTAAGTCATGCACTTGAATTTTTTGCAGTACTCCTTTACTACAAATGCTACTTCAGATTCTTATAAAAATTAGGGAAAACTCTTAGTCAAATACTTAAGTTTACATTATTATACATGTTTCACACCAGTAAATGACAAAAAGTTCACATACCAAATGAAACTGATCCACTTTGGGGATTCCATCTTCATTTGTCTCAAATTCCTGATTTTGAACAAAAAGCTGTAACACAAGGGAAAAAAATGAAAGACTCTCCATGTATCAAAGGATTAGTAAGTACTAATCCTATAGAAGAGTCAAATCTGGAACTCTTTAAATTCTGGTGAATAGAGAGGAGCTCATTTTAAAAAGCACATTAACTCGGGCCAGGGATTTAGCTCAGTGGCATGGCGCATGCCTCGAAAATGCAATGTCCCTGAGTTCAATCCCCAGTAACAAAAAAAAAGCACATTAACTACTGCAGAACAAAAACACTCTGATAATACCTACCCATTTATTACAAGAAACCATATGGTTCCTGAGGCTCCTAAAATATCAATCATAGGAGATACACACTATAAACACTTTAAAAAACTATTAAATATGGAGAATTGGTTACATATACACAGATACTGAGTCCCATGTATTCATCAACCAGCCATAACAATCATCAATAATCATTTTTGTCCTATGCACAAACCCATATATATTATCTTTGAGGAAAAACTTATGCATCTCATAATTTCATCTGTAAATATTTTAGTATATATCTCTAAAAGGTACATATATTTTTGACATAACCACAATATTTTACTTTTTTACAATTTACTAAACCATATTCAAATGTTAGAAGCACTGTAATTACTACAAATCTGGAAATGCCATAAAATACAACCAAAGGAAAATTTTGAAAGGTCAAAAGAGGAAGTCAAACTGTTTATGAAGACCCCAAGAATAGAAGAACAAAATAGCAACAGGTTATCTTATACCCCACCACCAAAAGCAAGAGTTATGCAGGCTTGGTGTTTTTCAACCCCCCAAGCTAGCAACAGAAAGCAGCATAGGCAAGTTCATTCTTTCCTGAATTTAACAGGAATGCCACCAACACTAACAAGTAAGCCTGAGAGAAACAGTAAGGGTGTTCACTTGAAAACTCAAGGGCAGAGGCACTAATAGAGGAAATCATGCCACAAGAGGCTGGTCCTGTAAGTACACTCTAACCTCTATAAGCAGAACGATCCCACTAAAACAAGTGGCCAAGGAAGTATTCTCCATCTGCCACAGAAGGGAGTAGAAGGAGTATCTGCTACAACAGGCACCCAGCTCAAAAAGCTTTATCCATAAACCAAAGACTCCATTCCCATATTTAGAAGCACCAGGCAGCTCAGCCTTGGAAAGTTATTTTCCTTCCTCAAACACAAGAAGCAACACGCAATAAGCCACACAGATTAAAATATAACTGAAAAAGCTATCAAAATGAGATGGCCATTAAAACTGTGTTTAGAAAGTAATTTAGGACTTCTATATTAAATCGAAATGACATAACTAACTGCTAAAATAAAAAGTTCAACAGTGCAAGGTCCTGAGTTCGATCCCTGGTTCAAAAAAAAAAAGTTCAACAGGATCCATAATCCATTAAAATAGTAGCCAAATGTCCAGGATACACGACATTAAAATTAAAATCACGACATTCAAATAACCAAGAAAAACCACAACTACAGTGAGAAACTGAAATCAACAGCAGAATGAAGCATATGTTGTAATTATCTTACAAGAACTTGAAAACAATCATCATAAAAATGTCTTAATAATTGTAATTTTTCTAGAGTAAATGAAAAAATGGAATAGCCCAGTAAAGAAAGAGAAGTTATTTTTTTTAAATAATCAAAATTTTAAAACTGGATGGAAGGCCGGGGATTTAGCTGAGTGGTTCTGCCACGTGCCTCACAAGCACAAGAACCCGAGTTCGATCCCCCATACCAAAAAAAGAAAAACTGGATGGATACTCAGAAAATGGAAAGATATTTCCTTTTCTCAGATAGGCAGAACCAATATTGGCAAAAAAGGCATACTTCCAAAATTGATACACAGATTTAATGCAATCTCACACAAAATACCAATAGAATTCCTCACAAAACTAGAGAAAACAATCCTAAAAATCCTATGAACCAGAAGAGATCCAGGATAACACAAGCAAACCTGAGTAACAACAGCAAAGCAGGAGGTACAACAATCCTGGACTTAAGCTATACTACAAAGATACAATGATTATAAAAACAGCACAATACGGCACAAAAAAGACATGTAGATCAGTAAAACAGAATACAAGATGTAGGAAAGAATCCTAAGAATATTCACCCATCTGATGTTTGACAAATGGAAGAAAAACCTAACACTGGAGAAAACATAGGCTCTTTAACAAATGGTTCTGGGAATACTTGCTATCCACATGCAGAAAGTAAATCTAGACCCATATTTTTCATTATAAACTAAAACTAAATCAAAATGGATCAAAGATATAAATATTAAAACATAAGCAATCTGCTAGAAAATAAAGTAACAATTTGAAGACATGGGCACAAGTAAGGACTTTTTAAACAGAACTTCAACTACACAAGAAATAACATCAAGAATCAACAAATGAGATTAGATTACATTAAAAATCTTCTGCAGAGCAAAGGAAACAACTAAGAGTTAAGAGATAAGCTACAAAATGGGGGAAAAAATTTGCCAGCTACTCCTCAAAGGACTAATATCTAGAACATATAAAGAACTCAAAAAAATTAGACCCCCCCCAAAAAAAATAAAAGGCCCAGTCAACAAATGGTCAACCAAAATGAATAGACACTTCTCAGAAGAAGTACAAATGGCCAATATATACATTAAAAAAATGTTCAACATTGTTGGCACTAGAGAAATGCAAATTAAAACAACACTGAGATTCCACCTTACTCCAGAGAGAATGGCCACCACCAAGAAATCAAATAATAAATTCTGGAGAGGCTGCAGGGAAAAAAGAACCCTTCTACAACACAGTTGCCAGGAAAGTACTAGTAAAACTACTATGGAAATCAGTAGTGGAGTTTCCTCAAAAACTGAAACTAAACTTTTAAATTTTGATGAATTATTCTTTTTATGGCTGTTTTCTGTGTCCTACTTAAATATTTTCAATATTCAAAATCAGTAAGATTTTTTTCCTGTTACCTTCTAGAAGTTTTAGAAAATTCAGTTTTGCATTTAGGTTTAATACACATTTTGAGTTTGTTTTTATACATGGTGTGCAGATGAATCAAAGCTTATTCTTTGCATACGGCTACCCATTTGTTCTAGAACCACTTATTTTAAAGACACTCCATTCAGACAGAAAACCACCTTGGCATCTTTGTCAAAAGTCAATTGATCAGATATAGGCAGGTTTATTTCCACTGTCCTATTCTGTTCCATTCATTTATATGTCTAACTTTATACCACTGTCATACTGTCTTAATTTATTGTAACTTTTTTATTAAGTCTTGAAATCAGGTAGTGTAAATCCTCTAATTTTGTTCTTTTTCAAAATTCCTTTCTTTTAGGGGCCAGGGATTTAGCTCAAGTGGTTTCGCCGCCTGCTGCACAAGCACAAGGACCTGAGTTTGATCCCCTGCACCAAAAAAAAAAAAAAATCCTTTCTTTATCCCACATCCTTGGCATTTTTTTATAAATTACAGAATCTAACTGCCAAAAAAAACCCCAGCATTTTTGTTGAAACTGCACTGAATCTACAGGCCAATCTGAGAAGGACTGACATTTTAAACAAGGCTTTCAGTCCATCAGTACAGTGTATCTCTTTATCCAAGTCTTCTATAATTTCTCTCAGAAATGTTTTGTAGTTTTCAGTGTAACAGGCATTATACCTTTTATTAAATTTGTCAAAAATTCCTTATTTTTGATACTTTTGTAAATAATTTTTAAATTTCAGTTTCCTATTATTTGTTTCTAGTATATAAAAGTACAATTACACTGAAATTAAAACTGTTACCTTTCTAAATTCATGTTAGGTCTAGTAGTTTTTATGCATATTCCTAGACATTTTTTGTTGATCCTTGGGCTAGAACCTCCAGTACAATGTTGATTAGAAAAACAGATATTCTTCCCTTGTTAATATTTAATCCCTCATAATTCTTAAACCATGAGTAAGAAAGTTACTTAGTTTTCAATGAGAGTGGAAACATCTACCCAGGGGTCATTTAGAACTTATTTGCCACATACCCATGAACTATTTCCAGCTTAACATAGTACAAAATTATCTTCGTTGTTAATCCTGACTTTAACAAAACTATAACACCTATAATAGATATCAAGTTAAATTATAGAAAGTACACAATAGGTAATAGGAAGTACATCAACAGTTTATGATAAAAACTAAAATAAAAACCTACTAAAAGTCTACCACTGAAGAGTAACATATTAGGGAGAATACCATAATCACCATTTTACTTAGTGAAATATAAAGTGACTGATCCATTTCAAAAAATAACATACCCACAATAAAAGGCAGCCATATGCATATAAGTCTGAACTTGGAGAAGGAGGTTTCCCCATTTTCAATTCGGGTGATGTCAAACTCAAGCCACCAACTGTCATGTTCACTGAAGCTCGCTGACTCTACAAAAACAGTATTGTATTTTGAATATTTTAGGGGAAACACAGTTAAGGTAGCTTTATATGAAGTATTCTGCATTTAATTAATTAAAAGTTTCATTTGAAATATTTCATTCTATTGGTCTCAAATACTGTTACTGAATTTCTGCTTCTATAAAGTGCTCTTAAAATCAGTTTCAAAATTGACACTGAAATTTTCGCTACAATCTGATTATAAAATAGGATAGATTAAAAACTAGCAATCATTGATTCTTTGATTACTGGTACTCTGGTGTTCTTAATAAATTTCACAAGGGTAAAGCAGCAGTATTATTTTCTAATTCTGAAAATTTTTAATTGTTTTAAACTGAAATTCTACAAAATTGTTTACTTACTGTTTTCTAAATATACCATCTGTGACATGTTAAAGGATGGGCAGTGACAGCAATACTACCCTTAAATTCAGCCAGACCTTAGCTGTAATCCCTTCTCTTCTATTTGCTGTGTGATGCAGGCTTTAACCTCTTAAAACCTAAATTAATCTTTATAATGGAAATAATATCTACTCTATAGTTATAATTAGCACAATCCTCAGTATATATCACTAAATGTTAACTGTATCTTTACACCTATCTTCTCCACTTACTACCTTTATTTTTGCTTCTCAAAGTATAGTTCAAAGACTAGCAGCTAAGGTATCAACTGGAAACTTGTTAAGGTGCAGAATCTATATCCTAGAAATGTTGAAAATTAATTTGCATTTAAACAAGACTCCCAGGTGATTTATATGACTGTAAATTTTTCTAAAACTAAATGATTTTGATTATGGACTACTTTCCAAATTTCTCTTCCTGATTTAATATATTTTTATCTGAATGTAGTATGAAAAATGTAGCAAAATTGTGTTTAATCAGTATTTCAGAGTAAATAACTTTAACTGAAGATTTCAATAGTGTTTTGCTTAATAACAACAGGTGACAAGTGAGTATAAAAGAGGAAGAGTAATTCTTGGAGTAGTTATTTCTACAGCTGTACAAATGTTATACTTAAAGTGATCAGAATTCCTAAAAATTGAGAACTTTTTTTGCTTTAAAATTTATTTTTTTAGAAACAGGGTTTCACTAACTAGTCTGGGCTGGCCTAGAACTCATCCTGGAACTTATGATCCTCCTGCCTCAGCCTCCAGAGTGCTGAGATTAGAAGGTATGTGCCACCATGCCCAGAAGAGAAGTTTCTGAAACGCAGAATTTAGTAATTTTTCTTAGGCTAGCATCTTAATTCTCAGATAAACTATGATAAATATCACAGCAAATCAGTCTGTATTAATCCTGCATGATCTGGCTTTTGACTAGTTTTGTATTTTCACTTTTTCATCATTTTGAGCTACCATATAAAAGCTATTGAGATAACATTTATAATGGTGGCATTACCCTATGATTTGCAGGTGACCAAAGTATAAAGCATTATGACATACAGTATTCAAAAGGAATTGCTCAGGTAATTAAAGTTGTAGGGATGTGGAAAAACTAGAATCTTTATACATCATTTAAGAGAATGCAAAATGATTCACATTGAGAAAGTTAAATTCCTCAAAAAAAAAGTCACTATATAAACTAGTAATTTGCCTCCCAAGAGAAATGAAAACATGTTTACATAAAAACTTGTACACTAATATTCACAGCAACATCATCCATGACAAGCAGAAAATATAAATCCAAACATCCCATCAACTGATAAATGAACAAAACATGACATACACATACAATGCAATATTAGGACAAAAAATGAACTTTGAAAATGTTGTGGAAGTAAAATATGCCAATCATAAAAGGCCACATATTGTATGATTTTATTTATATGAGGTGTCCAGAATAACCAAATCCATAGATATAGAAGTGTATTATTAGTTTTCTTAGCCTGACTAACAGGAGAAATGGACAATGACTGCTAATCAGTAGAGCACTTCTTTTGGGGAGTGATAAAAAATATTCCAGAGCTTGGCATGTTGGTGCATGCCTGTAATTCCAGCATTCAAGAAGCTGAGACAGGTGGATCACTGCCAAGTTAGTGGTCACCCCAGGGTACATAGTGAGTTCAAGGCCAGCCTGAACTACATATACTCTGTCTCAAAAAAAAAAACTTCTAGAATTAGGTAGTAATGATCAATGTACAACTTTATGAATATACTAAAAACTACAACTGATTTGTATACTTTATGATATGTTTATATCTAAATAAGGCTGTTACTTTCAAAATAGAACTGCTGACTTAGCCATTTCAACTGTGTACATATTTCAAAATATGTTGTACATAAGTATATAATTTATTTCTCAATTAAAATAAATAAGAAACTGTTCTCACATGATCATGTATACTTTGAGATTCTATCAAAAATAAAAATTCTATCAAAAAATATTTACATGTTCTTAATTATTTGATCTTTGCTACTTTTATAAAGTAGCTATTCTGAGGTAACATGGCACCACATTAACAGCCATTGTAGTTGAACCAGTAAAACTAAATGAAAAAGCCCAAGATTCCCAGATTTTTGAAAATGCACATTATAATAAAAAAACAGCTAAGTATGTATATTTAAATTAAATGTATGATGGAGAGAGGACACCAGCAGAGGGAAATTCTTGCATAATTTCTAGCAACTGAATGTTTTCAGATGATGATAAAATAATTAATGATTAATGTTGTCAATACCATTTAGTATAATGTCAGGTTGCTCCTAAGATTTTTGATTAAAATATACAATGCAAAGGGCCAGGGATTTAGCTCAGTGGCACCGCACCTGCCTCACAAGCGCAAGGTCCTGAGTTTTATCGCCGGTACCAAAAAAAATACACACATACACACACACACACGCAATGCAAGAACTTATAAACTCTTATTCTATCACCTAGTTGATAGCAAATAACTGCTTACAGAACATGACACACTTTAACTGAATGTACAGGTCCTACAATAAATTACCATATCATGCTGAACTACTACTCAATGATATTAAATGAAGTCGAGAATTTATCTGTAAGATTATGACATTTTACCACAGATTTGGTGAAATCAAAATCTCCAACAATTCCTTGTTCACGATTTAAAGCAAATACATTGTTCTGATGAAGTGATCCATGAATTATGTCGGCTTTGTGCAATGTATGTAGGCCCTGGGCAACACCTTTCATAACCTTTAAAGCTTCCTATAGATAAGTACACAGAAAAGAGGTTAGAATATAGAAAATCTTTTAATACATGAATCTTTTCTCTAATAAAGACTGTTCTAGAGGTAAGTAAAGCTTCCTCCAAATGAACTTTTACTAAGAATACGGCAAAAAGAATTAAAGGTGAGATGAAGCCTGGATTATTTGACTGGTGACCATGTGTGTGTATGTGTAGTCTGCAGTTTCTAAGAAAACTTAGGTAACAACCATGAAAAGCAGCTGGAAAAGAAGCTTAAATAGCATAAAGTAGATAGAATCATGGCCTCCTTTATTGTTATTAACATACTAATTCTAAATTTACAGTGATAAAAATTAAAGCTGTCAATTTACATATAGCAGACTTAATAGTTATAAGCTTAGGCTTGGAACCAAAAAGATCTAATTTCAAGTTCCAACTCTACCTCTGGCTGAGGGACTCTACAAGTCACTTCATCACTCTAAGCCTCACTTTTTTCATCTGTATAACAGGATAACACTCACATCAAAGGGCTTATGTGACAGAGTAACACAAGTCAAAATTTTACATCGTATATCATGCAGTATAACCTAGATAAATATTAAGTGTTAAATATTAGGTGCTATTTTCTCATTTAATATATCCATGGAAAGTGTGTTTTTACTTACTTCTGATGATAAAGGCATACTGGCCTGAATAACACTCAGGTTTGCCCTAGGATAGTATGGGACCATGAGATAAGCCACAGGATCAGACTAAGAAGCAAAGCAGAGAATGTGACTCAAAGCAAAAATTTAACGTTTTTAGTATACACTGATTCTATAAGACAATTTTTGTTCTTTGTTAAAAAGAATTAAAAACAAAAAAAGAATTAATTACTACTCTAAAATTTGGAGTCAAAACTTACTTTAAATAAAATGTTTTCTGTAAAAGTTTAGCATAAGAACTGATTTACCTTACACAAAAACAGGAATACTAATGGCAGTAAGCCAGACTCTTCTTTGGCTTCTCTCCAAGCTCTGTGATAGGTGGCTGCTCTTTGAATCACCCTGGCTTCTGTGTCTACATCCACAGAATAGCCCTTGCATAAAAAAACAGGCACTTGTAATTTCAAAATTAAAAATTCCACTCAAATTATACATCACTCAAATGTAATAAATGATTTTATGTATGTTTAATTAGGGCTTATTTTATTTTTTTAATTTTATAAGTACTTTGTCTATCTGCTTTGAATGTTATAATTTGGAAAGGAAAAAAGCTTACTATAATGTAAGCAACTAAGGCCAACTTAAATATTCTATTATAATGATTAACAAACAGTTTCCCGTATCAATCACAAGGAGAAAATTAAAAAGCAGACTGTGCTGACAACATGGATGAGATTTTGAAGAGAAATCTAAGAGAAGCAAAACTTTCAAAAAGATGTTAGATAAAATATAGTAAGTTCACCCCAAAAAAGGAAAGCAAGTACATATTAAAAGCAGGTACTATTTGGGGCAATGTGGGATACTTTCCAGTCAAAATTAGTTTTGACAACCATACTGGAGAAACAATCATCGTGTCAGTAAACCTACATACTTTAGAAAACAAAATAATGGGTTTTTTCTTTCCTAAAACATAGCACCACCACTCCCCTTTATACTTCCCAATCTCCTACAAATCAGAATTTACTATTACCTTTAAAAGAACAGTCTGCCCATTGACTTCAGAGCGTACCAAAGGACGCTTTCTGCTAAGTTCCTTCATGGGCTCAGCATCAAGAATATCTCGTTCTAAGCTCATAGTAAGAAGACCACCAGAGTTCTAGGCACAAATTTTATTACAGATGATGAATCAAAAAATCCTACCATTTTTAAATCATCAACATAGTTAGCTACATGCTATTAGATAGAATGAAAACCATCAACCCTATTTTAAAAACAATAAAATAAAAAATGTTTAAAGTTTCATATTTTTCCTAGTTTCTCACCCTAAGACTCCTTCCATCCACAGTGTAATCACCCTACATTAAATTATTGCTATAGTTCTAGAACAGACCCTAGAAATGCCTGGGATTAACCACCCATGTTTCTAAGGGAACCTAATGGTTACTTGAAAAAATCTCGTATGCTTCCTAAAAATATTTAAAATAGTGACAAATAAAAAGGTGGTTGTAGAATCTTCATAATCTGAAGATTATTTGTACTATGAAGTAATTCTAGCACTTCTGCCTCTGCCTAAAGTCCTTAAAGGTGAAAATGGTTTTTAATTCTACTAGATATTTCTGCTACTTTCTAAAGGAATAATATTGCACACTTAAATCTGATATAACATTTCAAATCAAACTAAGTTTTACTGCAATGTAGTTTTAGTAACACAGTCTTCAGATATTTTCTAGTTTAAGTGTTGTTAGTATATTTAATCCATTAATACATAATCAACCTCCAAAAGATTCCCAAGGATACATCACAATTAAACATTTTACAGTCATCAAAGGCTTCCATAAACCTCGATTCAAACCTTTTATAATCTATAATAAAGTAAAGTTTTTAAAAATTAATTTTCAAGTCTTCTGTTGCTGCACATAATTACATACTATTCAAGTCAGTCTCTAAGCTAAACAGTTGCAAGGAAAAACATCATTTTAAAGTTTACCCTGGAAAGACTAATTTTTTAATTAATTAGAGAACTTTCATCTTACATATTTATGAAAATAAATATGTTCATGAAAATAAAATCATAAGTACCCCTTTTTATACTATATTTATTATCATGGACTTAATGACAATCTTAAAGAATAAATACAGTTGGCCACACCCATGAGAATTCAACCAACTGCAAACTGAAAATATTCTTTAAAAACTGTATGTCTGAATGTGCACTTTTTTATCATTCTCTAAGTGACACCAAATTAAAACTATTTAAATACCATTTACTTTGTAGTAAGTATTATAAATAGATTAGAGATAATCTGAAGTACATAACAGGATACACATAGGCTATATGCAAATATTAAGCCATTTTATAGAAGAAACTTTTGGTAAAGGCTGGGGAAGGAGGAGCCTAGAACCAGTGCCCCATGGATACCAAGTAACAGCTGTACCTCATCTAGCTCCTTATCCTTTGCAGAAAATATAAAACACAGAGGTAACAAATTTTTCCCTGAGCACCAGAATTTACCGATCCCACTCCATATTGCCCCTACTACGCTAATCTCCTTGCCTTTGAATTTTGCCTGCCCAGCAAACCAAACCCACTTCAAAATATCTAACTTAACCTACTTCTTTCAAAATTTTTTGCCCGCTGGGTTAACCTAAAAGACACATTGTGTTTAAATTCCTCATAGCTAGCAGAATTCTAGCTATTCCTCATAGCTAGCAGTACTCTTGAAACAGGAGTTAAATTTTTATCACTTCAAAATTAAATATCTAACTGGATAATTCAATAACATAGCAGGACCCTGCATGGCTGTTAATCCTGATGGTCAATCTCATTGGATTAAGAAACACCTAGCAGATTAGTAGAGCACACTCCTGGATGTGGGTCACAGAGCTGCAGCCTTGCGCAGTATATATGGTTTTCTACATGTTCCTCTCATGCTGCTCCCCTGCTGTCCCCCAGCCACCATAAACTAAGCAGCTTTGCTCTGTCACACCTTGCTGACATGATGTTCCTGTCTTAGAGCCAGGTAACTATGAACTGAATACTCTTCCTTTTAAATTGTATTAGATATTGTGTCCAGCAATGAGAAAACTAAACCCCTGTCTCAAAATAAAAAAATAAGAAAAGGGCTGGGGACATAGCTCAGTAGAAAGGCCCTGGGTTCAATCCCCAACACTGTAAAATTTAATTTATTAATTAAAAAGATAAGATATGGTGGCTCATGCCCACAACCTCAGCACTGTGGGAGGCTACAGCAGGTGGATCAAAAGTTTGAGCACAGAGCTGGGCATGGTGGTGCATACCTGTAATCCCAGCACTTGGAAGGCTGCGGCAGGAAGATTGCTGCAAGTTCAAGGCCAGCCTGAACTATATGGTGAGACCTTGTCTCCAAAAAAAGTTTGAGTCCAGTCTGGGCAACTTAGTGATTTAGGGAGTACTTGTGTCAAAATAAAAATAAAAAGGGTTGAAGATGCAGCTTAATGTGAAAGCCCTGGGTTTAATCACCAGTACTGCAATCAATCAATCAACCAATCAACCAATCAATATCCATAATTCAAAAAAGGACCATGCAACATTCTGAATGAAGATGAAGATAGAGAAAAATATGCAAATTAAGATGAAAAGTAAAATGTTGTACTATGCAACTACTTACAAGTCTTGATAAAACCTTCTAATAGTACTTTTTAAATATTCATCAGGAACTTTTTATAGAAACAATACTATAAATTTAACACTGATACACAATTTGAAAATCATCACTTTTCTATACTCTCTGCAGAATAATAATTTTCAAGGGAAACAAAACTTACCATGTATTTAAGTAATCCTATTTCAGTATGAAGCAGAGGCAGCTCAGGGAACCATTTCTGCGCCAAGTTATTCAACTTTTCCTAAAGTTCAAAATATAATTTTAATTTCAGATCATTATATATTCAATTATGACAGCTGTTCTTCAGAAAATATATCAGCATCAGACTTCTTAGATATCTAATATATCTTTATCATTGAGTTTGACCTCTACTTCAAGAAATATCAAGCAAAATCAAGAGACAACTTGAACTACCATCTCATAAATGGGAAGAAAAACTTAATGATCAATTTTATGCCTTGTGTACATATATAAACACAAATATTGCCTAAGGTCAAAGTTCACACTCACTTCCAAATTAAAATGAAAAAGTGTAATACATTAATTTGAATCATAAAACTGTCCTTTCTCAAAATACTAAAAACACAGGACCATTTTTAAATAATTGCTCTCATTTAGAAAGAAAATTATAAAAGTCTTAAGGTGAAAAATGAATATGTAGCTCTACATCAATCATTCTGAAGCAAATGTGAAATTTTAGGATCCTTACAGAAGTCATACATCACATGCTTCTACACATTTGTCAATTTTTATACAAACATTCGTAAGATATTACAAACTGTCAGATGTGTTTGCTAAATAAAGCATATTTTAAATGTCCATTATTTTCATAGTATTATTTTCAAAACACTGTTTTTTAGCTAACTTCTTCCCCATAATCTCCCTCAGATATATGATACAATATTCTTTCCATTTTAAAGAAAAAAAATCCATGACTAATTCTCTTTTTAAAAAATCACAAAATTAGGGTAGTGAAGACTTAAAGATATAACCTCCCTCAAACTAGGTAGTTTTATTTTAGTAAATTCTTCAATTAAATTATATTGCTTCATTAATATTTTCATTGCAACATTATGATAAAAATGATGTCCATTAGGTTTTTATGAAGGTCTTATGCTTTATCTTAAAAAACAGTAGGCAATAGCATGTATGCATATGAACATATGCAAAAACAAGCACAAAAAAAGGAAGCCAAAAGTTGATTACTACTGTTACCACTGAGAAAGTTACAAGTGATACTTTTTTCTTCTTTATAATTTCTTATAATTTCCACATTGGTTCAATAGTCATGAATTATTTTGTTATAAGAAAATAATTTCAGGCTGAGGGTACCTGCTCAGTGTAGAGCTCTTGTCATGTGTCAGGCCCAGAGTTCAATCCCCAATACTTCCCAAAAATATTAATTTCTAAATTCACATAAATATTACTACATAGGCTAAGATGACATTTCTAGCCTTATGATTATAGTCCATTTCATAAAAAAGATATCTGGATTCAATTTCTAAAAAACCTAATTTAAATTTTAAAATACTTACATATTCCTCCTTCTCATGATAAATTTCCTGAAAGACACTACTACGTAATTGAGTTATTTCTTGTTTTATTTTTTCAATTTCAGATCCATCAGGGTCATCAGACTTTTAATCAGAAAGAAAAAATGGTTTTACAGGTTTATTAAAGTAGACTGAAAATAAATCTTCCTATAAGAATTAATGCAATTTCTATGCCTAGCATACAAAAGGCCATAGGCTCAATCCCTAGAACCAAACAAAAAGAATTAATGCAATTTCTACAGTAGAGCAGTCCATGTGATTTCTATGCATCCACCAGTACCTAGCATATAACTGACCCTTATAACACTTGTTGAATTAACTTAGGTCAGTTTATTCTAACACTAACTTTTCCAAAGCCTACATAAAAGAATCATAAAAAATAAAGACAATTACATAGATTTTCTTGTTTAATTTACTGTATATTTTCTTAAATATAAGTGGCCAACAGCAGCCATACAGCAAATGTATCAGAAACCAGAGCTGAATTCTCTGGCATTGTTTTTTAATGAGATTAGCTAGAAACAGAGGAAATAAAAGAATGACTGAATGTGTAAAGCATCTACTACAGGGAAAATGACACAGGACCCACAAAGTACTCCATGAGATTCCAACGGTGTTTTAACAAATAAACTACCTTTAAAAAGATATAGGCTTTAAAAGTTGTATTTGTTTCTCCAAAAGCTAAATAGATTGTAAAAGACCTCCTTTTTCACAGAGTAGAGCAAGATAAAATTGGAAAACTCTTAAACTCTGAAATTAGTCCTAGAACAGCTTCCACTTCACTCTGAACTAGGTGCTCAGAAGATGAAGAGACAGTAAAGTTGGGTGAAGATACAATACAGATCTTTTTAACATAAATCTTCAAAAGACTAGAGAATCACCATCTTATTCACAAAGTTTCAAGCCTAAGGAATGAATTAGTCCAGATTAGAATATCCTAATCCCTCCAGTTCTATTATTTTATGAAAGCAACTTAAAATACTTTCAAGAGATATTATATTCAGCCATTAAGACACCATGATCTTAAAAATACTTTACAACAAAAATCTATCTTTGGGGAAATACCTTATTTATTACTTGCATATTGTAGGTTTGTATTATAAACAGTCTAAACCAAAAGTTTTTCAAAAAATTTTTAAATGTTCATGTTATTAAAAACCAAGGTAGTACATAAAATATTTTAAAGAATACTTAATTATATGGGAAAATATAGTATTTACACTATTAATGCAGTCTCTTATTGATACACAGAAAAAAAGGTACAGTATGTAAAAAAAAAAGTGAGCATGTTTATGAACAACTTTTATAAAACAGAACCCAAGAAAAATGAGGTATAAACAGAGTTCAGTTAGAAGCAAATGTTTCCTTACTTCTTCCAAATTATTCTTTTCAACCAATTTCCATCTCAGTTTAGCTTTTAAGCCTTTCAGTTTCTTCTTAATGGACAGCAAGTGATCCACACTGGGGCTCGTATTTATGTATTCAGTCATTTGCTTTTTAAACTAAGCAAAAGAAAGTTACTGTATATTCAAACATATCAGACAACAATATTTACTGAACAGTCACCTATTGACCATTTATGATTTTTCTAATATTCAACTATCTGAAAATAGTAAGAAAATGCTACAATTTCAACGAGACAATACTAACCAATTTCCTACTTATCCATATTTCTAGTTATAATAATACTATTTCTAGTACTCAAAGTAGCAAAGACAGAAGAATTATTTCAACTGAGGCATAATATAATACACACATTGTCAATATGAATGCAAACTGGAATTTCTAGTGAGGATATAAATTGAAATAATCTTTTCCCAAAAGTGGTTTGACAATATGTACCAAGTTTTAATAATGTTTACTTCCTTTAATTTGAAAAGTTCAATTTTAGTAATCTGAGAAATTACACATAAAATTATATACAAAGATTACGTAAAAAATTTATGGTAGAAAATACCTTTATACTAGAATGATAATTTAGTCATTCAAAATGGCAGTACAAAAGAATCATTAATCATATCGAGAAATATTCATAATATACTATTAAATGAAGAAAGTATTTTCAACATGGCTTACAAGATAATGCAATGCATGCTGTATGTGTTTACGAGTGGGTGTGGATATGTGTCCATCCAAAAAGGAAATACTATAAAACTATCTTAGGCTAAGGACTTTAAGAACTTTTAATTCTTCTTATCTTTCTGTATTAGCAAATTTCCTACATTAAACTTGTATACATATAAAAAAATGACAAACATGTTTTCAAGTACATAAGAAAATCAAAGAATAAAAATCAAAATATGTATCAACAAAAGTCATCATTCTCATTTTACTGTCAATTCAATGATAGCAATGGCTATACTGCTTTTGCAGCAAAACAATGAGCATTGTTTACCAACACAATGAGCATTGAACTACTTGAGAAAAATTCAAGTATTGAAAATTTTAAAGCTCTAATTTATAAGACCAGTAAGAGAAAGCATAATCCAACCTCAATACTGTCTTTGTACTTGGATTGTACAGTGGCAATGAGCTTCTCCTCTAAATGGATCTTCTGCAGTACTTGACTATAAGTATTTAAAATGATCTCCCTGTCTGCATCACCTTGCTCCTAAATGAAATCACAGGTGGAATTATACAGAAAGGAGTAGCCGAAATAGTTAAAACCTCCAATAACAATGGGTAAACTTCAAAATGATGCCTCTGACAAACTGCTACATCCACTTCAAATTTCTCATAATACAACAGAAGAAAGATATCAAACATGTTAATATAGAAAATGTTATCCCTATCACACCAAATATTCCTAAAACTGTCAGAAGCAGAATGTTAATAATGCATTTTTTATTGTTGCTGTTCTTTGCAGTACTGAGGACTGACCCAGGGCCTCACACATAAGCTAGGCAAGTACTCCACCACTCAGTTACCTCCCCAGCCCTTTTTATTTTGAAACAGGGTCTTGCTAGGTTGCCTAGGCGGCCCTGGAACTTTTGTTCCTTCTGCCTCAGCCTCCCAAGTAGCTGGGATTACACATGTGCCCCACCACGCCTGGCATAATAATGTATTTTTAATCCAAAGTGAATAAAACTGCAAAAAGTAAAAAAGCAATAAAAAGTATAACCACTGAGACTTTGAGAAGCATACAGAATAATTAATTGAGAAAGAATCCCCATGGACAATGTTAAGATACAAAATACTGTTAAGGAACTACACTAATTTTTAATTTCGTTTTCACAAGAACTGAGTCTTACACTCATTGAGTATAATGGAAGCAAGAATCAAATTACACAAGCAGCCCAACACGGTGATCAGAGTAGCCACCTTAGCATGAACATAGTGTTAATCACTTCAGGCCTTCACATCTGCCATGCTATGCATGTTCCTTCCTGTACATTTATTTGAGAAAACACTGGACTTAATTTGTAACTTAATATTTTAGATTTGGGCTATTTATTCACTTCATTTTTTCCCCCTACACTTCAAACTGCCATTTTTGGAGGGGGTGGAGTTTTATTCTATCCTCTTTACCTTCCTAGATACTCACATCTTAAGTAATTTTACCTCTAATTTCATGATTAACGTTGAGCCAAAATACAATTGGACAGATAGTCTCATTTCATTTATTGTACCCCGACAGCTTTATGGTTCAATAAATATATAATTTTTTACATATGTAAAATTAAATTTAAGCATTTGTAAAGTTAAAGTTACAGATCTGTTAATAAACAGGAGATGTACAGATTATGTCACAAAAATAAAACACTCAAAATTAAATGGTCGTTTAGCATCTTAAATTCCAACTGAAATAATTTTAATGTTACCTTTTCCTTCTCAAGGCAGTTTCTAATTTCTTGACTATGTAGATGATTCCATGCATATCAAGTAATTAGAAAAATCACTGCTGAACCTTGATTTGTTTAGCTTCCAAGTAATTTTCTAATGTTTTGCTCTTTAAATGGTATCACTGTTAAATATTATTTGTTTTGAGATTGTGGCCCACTAATATTGGCTGATAGATGCTGTGTATCTATATTCTTTCTTAAGTACCAAAAATAAGGTGCTGGGAAGGAGAAAAAAACTTTTCCAATATAAATATGTTGCTCAAATTATGTGTATTATTTAAAAAGAAAAGGAAACATAACCCAGGAGTCTAAGTTAAATCTAATATTGTTAATACTGAACTTGCAGGTGCAAGATGGTATACATTGCACCCTCTGGAAGCATTTTCCTCTAGCAGATAAGCTGCTCACATTTTTTTAAATTGGCCATCTCCTAAGGAAGTGTAGCATGACATCAGTACCAACTGCATGTGTAAATACATCATACCAGCAAACCATAGAATATAAATTATCATCATTCATGTAGTATCTACAAATTTGTAACAATGGGGAGGGATAAAAAAAATGACATGGTATTTAATAAAACAATAAAAATATTCTATCAAAAAAATCAAATTACATAAATGGCTGATCTACTAGGATTAACAGGGGCTTCCTGAATTAAATATTAGATTTCTTAATGTAAAATAATCTACTAAAATGAAAACACCAAGAAGAATAAGACTTTTCACTGTATATGGATTAGAACTTGACAGTATTACCCTTTCAAACAGGCCTATAACAGAAAAACTAAGACCAGTCTTAACTTTCTGATTAACAAGAGAAACTATATTATTGGTTCATACATTCCAATTAGCATAAGAAATCACTGCTTAAAAGGAAGCAATAAAAGACTATCAATACTCACAATCTGAGATATCTCTAGCTCTTTGCAAACACATGACTCAGCATTCTCTAAGATTTCATCAATACTACCGATTGTGTCTTCATAAGCCAGTGGTTCTCCCAAAGACAGATCAAAAACCTCATTTTCAAAAATAAAAACAGAAAGTATCTCAATTAATTAACTCAATTAGCACTCATTGTGCCCTTGTATCCGAAACAGAGCATTAGGCTATACCTTGGGCAATGTAGAGAAAATAAGATTACAGTAAAAAACAAAAAAGATACTTACCCTCATAAAACTTATGTACCAGAGGAGAAAAGGTACCTATACACAGCATACCTAAAGAAAATTAGTGGTTGGGGGAAGTACAGGAACAATGCAGAGGACAAGTAAGAGAAAAAGAAAAAAAAATGTCTTTCAACAATAATACAAGGAGGAGTCTGACAAAAAGCTAATAAAAAACTTTGACCACTCAGGTCCTAAATTTATATCTAATAGGGAAGAATAGACAATTTCAGCTCTTGAACAAAGAAATATGATTAAAAATACATAATTTGTTTTATGCCACAAATGCCACTGAGCAGGAGTTCTTACCTTTAGGGTATTCTGGAACCATGCTACAAGATGCTGCAGAGAAGCCTCTGTTTCACTCCTAACACTGGTGAACTCCTCTCTTTTATCACATTTCCAATCATAAAATGTTCTAAGTATTTCTTCAGAGTTTATTCCTTCTTTGGCCTGTCCATACACTGCTTCTAAAGAAGCTGATAAATCCTACAGAGAGAAATAATTCTGCATATTAACTGCAGATTATGATTCAAGCACTATGTTAGAATCCAAAAGATAGAAAAGTTAGTATATTAAGTCTCCATTTACGAGAATTTTATAAGTAAAACTTAAAACTTAGAGATGAAAACACAAAACTATCTATAAAATGTTTTATGTGGACTACAACAGTTAAAATTTATTAAGTGAATTAGTTACAAATGTAAGCTTTATATTCTTAGGATTAATTACATATAAATTACCCTTCTGATTTTAAGTAAGAATCACTATTGTTTGTCTTGCTAGATAACAATAAACTACCCACAAAAATATACACATATTTCAAACTAAGTAAAATTATTAAATACATATGTAATTTAAAGCACTTTTTAAAGGAGTAGAAGAGAATCTAAGCAGCTAGCATAGCCTGCTGCCTCTCTCTAGGAATCAATCTCTAGAAATGCTACAGAGACAGAGGAAAGTGTAATAGATTCCAGAAATTTTTATCACAAAAGTCATGAGAAACCCTGCAAAAGACAAAAGGATGATTGGTGCTTAGCACTAAGTAACTATAGTCCCTGAAAATAAGAGAAGGCTTAAAACACAGCACGAGATAACCTGTGGGAAAAGAGAACTTTTTTCATCTGCTCAAATCTCTCCCTTTCACTGGGCAGAAAAGTAGCAGCACCCAGTTGAGAGTCAATGAGACACAGACCACACAACACAGATGAGGCAAAAATTGACAACCAATACAAAGAACTGTCCAGCCCCTAAGTATTCTTTCTTCCTTTTCCCTTAAATACCTGGCAACATTTACATCCAAGAGTGACAGCTCCCAGAAAACAGCAGTGGCTGGCTAGGGATTTAGCTCAGTGGCACTGCACCTGCCCCATAAGCGCAAGGTCCTGAGTTTGTTCCCCAGCACTGGAAAAATTAAAAATTTTTAAATTTTTTTTAAAAAGACCAGTGGCTGAGGTACAAAGGACTAGGAGATTTGCTGAAGATTAAGACCATCTAGGAAAGGAGAAAAAAGGAACAGTTGAGCTTTGATTACAACACTGGAAGTTCTGCACTCTAAAAAACCTCATTCTATTCCCTAAACCCATGCGAAGTCTTAAAAATTGAAGTCCAGGCTTTCACAGAAGAACAAATATTAAACTGATATCAATAATTATGAAAATAAGACAATGGATTCTCAAAGGTCAAAAGAAAAAATAACCTTTGGACCTAACATTTCATGGCCAGCTAAATAACCATTTATGTAGAAGAATGAAGTAAGATACCTTGAAACATTTATTATCTCACAAATTCAACTACATAAAGACCTTTTAGAAAGTACTCTTGGGGAAAAAAATTCCATTACATAAACAAATGGAAATAAAACTAAGATCACAGTTTTTTTTAATAAGATGAGATTCCAGGCCCCCCAGCAACCAGCCAGCTGAGGGTGAGGACCTGGGCTGAATGGAGCCTTGCTCCTTCCCACCCATGCCCCGCCCCCCAGCAACCAGCTTAACAGCACCTGCAGTCACCTGTGTGTCCCGTCCCGCCCGCAACGCCCCCCCCCCTTCTGGCCTCCTGGCTGTGCAGCTACCTGGGTCCACATTACAGAGGCCATAAAGGCCATTGTCCTGAGCTCCAGAAGATAGAGCAGAAGTGAATAACAGAAAGAGGGCCTCTCTCAGGCTCCCTGATGAAAATTTAAGCCCACTGGAAAAGTGAAGAGAATCTCTGCAATAAAGGCACACCAGACCACCATACTTGTTAAGTTGGAGGGATCATCACCTCCCATTGGAACCTGGGCTATCTTCAGGGGAAAGGCAGCTAGAACCTGCAGTAGAACCTTGCAGAGTTCAACCCAGCAGGAGGACAGGGAGCTCAACTTGGGACTTGTAGCCAGCAATCTGCCTGAATCTCACAGGTCTGCTACTGGCTTGCTGAGACTCGCTGACTTATATCTGCACACTGCTGCCCACGCTGTCTATTGTGACAGCAGAGACATACCCTGAAGGAGGCCCTTCATTTTTATTTTTTATTTCCAAAATTTTTTTGCTCTATTTTTAATTTTTTTCTACTCTTCAAAATTTTTTTTTCTTTTTTTCTTTCATTTCCCTTTTCTTTCTCTCTCTCTCTCACTTGTTCTCTCACTGTCCCACATTGTTCTTCATCTCCCTTTTTGTTCCTGTTCTGACCCTAATTCAGATTTCTTTTTTCTTTTCTTCTCTTTTTCCTTCTCTCAGTTGTCATTAGTTTTAAAGGAAAGTAAATAGAGTTTCTAGCCTCTCTATTGCTGTCAGGTTGTTCTGTTCTCATCTTTGTTCTTTCATTCTGTCTTTTCCTCTTGTCTTCAACAGATTCTTAGAATTTGCGTGATCTTCCTGTGTCCTCTGGCCTCACTGCTAACCTTTCCCTATCCTTCTACCTATTTATCTCACCCTCCCCAACTCCTTCTAACTCCCCATCCTGAAGGGTGAAGTTGCTATATTGAAGAGCTTATTCACTATAAACATATGTTGGGCTGGTCCTCAATTTTGATTTAATTCACACAGCTAAAGGTGATAGATTAATAACTACCACAAATTGTCATTTTCTAAGCTGTGCTTGATGCTATGGTCTTGCTGATTGTATAATTTGGGCTAAGGAGTTGTGATTGATCTAATCAGTTCTCCTTCCTGGTATAATGAAAATGAGATAGCCTCAGAGTCATTAGAGACTCAAAACCTAAAGACCAGACATATCTGGAAAACAGCTCTGAGAAGCAATCATTCCATAAGGGTTCTAAATACAAGCAACAAAGATACTTACAATAAGCAATTTTGAAGTATCAACCTAGGAATTAAACCAAGGACAGTACCAAAAACAAAAATTAGAAGACATTTAAGAAAGGCACAAACTCAGACTTCCACCCCACCAAAGGCAAATTCTGGGGGAAATGAGGTGGAAAAGTCTGATAATCAAGCACCTGGACACCCTGAACTGATAGCACAGGAAGTAACAAAACAGATGAATGAGGCTCTAGAAAAATTCAAAACAGAAACAATTTCCCAGATAGCTACAGAGATGGTGAGCAGAGTGAAAGACATGACTAGAAGCTCTAGAACAGAAACAGATAAAAAAAAAATAGATGAGCTCAGGACCATGCTGCAAGCCATGAATGCCCAGCATAAGAAATGGAAACCATGATCGCCCAACATAGAAAAAAAATGGAATCCATGAAACACATTCAAACAGATATCCAGATTAAAAACTCCACTGAAAGTATTCACAGCTGATTAAGGGAATGTAAAGATAGAATATCAGATATAGAAGACAGGATTGTGGTTAGTGACCATGAAAACAGAGATTTCTTAAAAATAATAAGGGACCACAAGAAATCTATCCAGCCGCTTCTAGATGATGCAAAGAAGAATAACATAAGACTGACAGGAGTCTATGAGAAAGCAGGAGAAAGTACAATTGACATATAAAAACTGTTCACAGAAGTAATAGAAAACTTCCCAGACAGAGGTAGAGAATTGGACATACAGATAAGTGAGGCATATAGAACTCCAACTAGCCACGATCAAAAAAAAAATCTACACCTAGACATATAATAGTCAAGATCCCAGAAACCCAACAGAAGAGCAAAATCCTACAAGCAGTTAGAGAAAAGAAACAAATCACCTACAAAAGAAGGCCCATCAGAATCACAGCAGACTTCTCAACACAAACCCTCAAGTCAAGGAGAGCCTGGAGTAAATTATTTCAAGCCCTAAAATAACTTCCAACCTAGACTGTTGTATCCTGCAAAATTATCTTTCAAAATCGATGGGGAAATTAGCTACTTTCACAACAAAGAACATCTGAGAAATTTCACGAACACCAAACCAGCACTCCAAACAATTCTAAACAATATCCTAGAAAAAGACAATGAAGGTCACAATTCCATGAGGCCCAAAAGAGGTAAGCCACCAGGCAAAGCAAGAAACTAAAGGAAAAGGGGGAAAAATAAAAAATAGAGCCAACAACAGTAAAACATCATGACAAGGATGAGTCAATATCTATCAATTATAACCATCAGCCTCAATTCACCCATCAAAAGAAAGAGACTGGCAGAATGGATTAAGAAGCAAAATCCAACAATATGCTGTATATAAGAAACATACCTAACTCAAAAAGAAATTCACAAAGTAAAAGGTTGGAAAACAGTTCTCCACATGAAAGATTTCTCAGACAAAGAAGCAAAATTAGCAAAGAAAACATATGAAAAAATGTTCAACATCACTGATCATTCAATTCGAGAGATGCAAATGAAAACAACACTAAGACTCCACCTCACCCCAGAAAGAATGGCTGCTATCAAGAAATCAACAAATAACAAATGCTGGTGAGGCTGTGGGGAGAAAAGAACCCTTCTCCATTGTTAGCAGGAGTGCAGATTGGTGCAACCACTGTGGAAATCAGTATGGAGATACCTCAAAGAACTAAGACTAGAGGTCCCATTTGACCCAGTTATTCCCCTGCTGGGCATCTTCCCAAAAGAATTAGAAGAATCATACCACAGTGATATATGTGCACCCATGTTTATAGTGGCACAGCTTATAATAGCTAAAGCTTGGAAACAGCCAAAGTGCCCATCAACTGGAAACTGGATAAAGAAGATGTGGTTTTTTTATAAAACGGAGTAATACTCAGCCATAAAGAACAAGAAATTAGAGACATTTATAGCTAAATGGATGCATATTGAGGCAATACTCTTAAGTGAAATAAATAGGACACACGTGTAAATACCAAATAGCTTCTCTGGTGTGAGAAACTAAAAGTGTAAATAAGGATTAAAATGATTTAAATGAATAATTGATAATGTGAAATAGGAAAAAAAGGTCCAAAAGAGTAGGGGAAGTGGGAGAGGAAAGGGAAAGGAAAAATTATGAGAAAAGGAAAAAATAGAAACAAAGTCTTTGTAAATAGGGAAGGGAGGACAGGGAATGTGGAAAAAATAAGAAACAAGACACATCATGTACAGGTAC